TTGCTGAATCTTAAATTTTTTATTTTTTTTTTTGATTCCTGTATCTATGAAAAAGTGTCTGTGAAGTTCAGAATGAAATCGTTTTCAATGAAAAATTGAATCAGACAAATTTCAGGAAAACAGCCGAAAGCGCATCCGTTTTACAACGATTTTCGATAGTTTTCTGCACATACGTTTCGGATGAACACTTTAGTGGGAGAATTGATCTGAAAAACGTCCGAAAACGGATGAAACATCAGGTTTTTATACGAAATTGTTTCTATTTTCGGATACGTTTCCGGATATTTTGCTGGCTGGGTAACCACGCAAAAAAAAAACATATGAAAACAGGATTGATATTAAATATTGCAATAAATACCTCGTTGAGTCCTTCTTGCCGTGAAGGTGTTTCCGAAGAAATCAGATAGACTTTAGACTTTTAAAGCTCATTTTAAATTTAAAGGTTGGATTAAAAATAAAGCTATATAGGCATTTATATTATCGTTTTTTGAGGTATGTATGTTTCTTGGTTGTAAACCACTTTAAAACCGATAATAAAATGGTTTGCTTTGGACACTATCATAAATTTTAATGCAACCTTTCAATATAAAGTGAGCTTTAAAGTTATAGGTTACTTGAGAAAACGGCCCTAAGAGCTCCATCGTTTCTACATCCATTTCGCACTTTGAAGGCACGGTTAGCTAACAATTTGACATCAAGTGACCTAAGCATGACTCTGGATACTTTGTATTCACGTTGTTGTGATCACATTTTACCCACTTCTTGGATCATACCTAAATCACATTCCTTTTTGGAGCCTGCAGGTGATTGAAATTTCTAGGATGGGTGTGTTGTTCAATAGCACTCCTTCCTTTGCTAGAGCATCCACCCCTTTACGTTTCCTTCTGTGCTTAGGTACCCATAACAAATGAATTTTTAAATTTTACTTGTTGACCGTTAGATTTTTAATTAATTTTTGCATTCTATCAATTCAGCAATAACCATTTTTTATGTTGTGAAAATTTTAATAAATTTAATAAATACAAGTATTGCAAAAATAAAGATACTGCAATTGCAGAAACTCGAGCAATAAATACACACGTAAAAAATAAATACGCAACAAATACATATGTGTGAAATTTTGATGTTTATGTATCGTACATGGTTTCCCAACTACGTGACCCCTTAGAGCGATCCCTTGACGTTGAACGTTCTTGTGTCGCTTGTTGGCCCATTTCATTCTGTAAACAATATTTTTAGTATTGATTTATTTAAAATTCATACCTTCCTATACACTACTCTTCTTATTGTCAGTTGGAATGGTTCGCTGAATACCTAACCGCTTGTTACTATCCGAACTAGACGAGGATTTCGGCTCTGCTCCGCCGCCAAGTCTACCTTTAGGCGGGGATGCTTTGGCTTTCGAAGAGGTCGGTTTAGATTTTGTCGGGGATGGTGATCCGACTTTTTTCTTCTTCTCGTCTATTGTGACCACTTTCTGTTTGCCTTTTTTCGCTTTCTGACGTACTTTATTTTCGGGCTCGGATGAGGAATAGTAATCGAGTGATGTGGTTTCAATAATGGGGGCACTTTCCGATTCCTTGGTGGCACGCTTAGAGCAGGGAATGCATTTAGCAGCGGGTTGGCAGGCCAGTGACGACGTGGAAGTGGACGTCCGACGGTCTGGAAAGTTGAAATTATTAAATTAGAGCGGTTTTATTTTACTTTCTACGTTTGTGAGAACTACGTGGTTGTGTTGCAATGACCGATTTCGTATCAGGCTTAATAACAATCTCCTCATCGGCTGGTCTCTTTCTGCAGAATAAGTAGTTACACCATGCAGGAAATCTGCGCTTTTTCTTCGGTGGCTTTGGTTTTGGCTCGGTCTTTGGCCTTCGCCTACGATATCTCATTAGCATAGCGACAAGCAGAATGATCAGCAATATGAGCAGTATCAATCCGATAATGCAACATAGGTATTTTAGATAGTGCTTTTGTTGTTCCGATGATAATTTCAATAAGGACCCAGCTCCACCATGTTTTCCACCCTTCGTTTTACACTTTGGCTTTGTTGCTTTGGTATGCTGGACTTGTGGGTTTTGTTGAGTTTTAGGTTTTTCGCATACCTTTCTGCTCTGCAGTTGTCTATTAAGGTTATTATTATTGTTGTCATCGGCACTTTTCTCAAACCAACGTTTACCATTAATCATCGTTTGCCTGGCTTTCTCTTGCATCTTGTACTCTAAGGCTTTCTGTGCGAGTTCTATGTCGGAAAATCCATCATCGCTTTTACTCTCACCACTGCTAATGGTGTTACCTTGACGCATATTGTCTTCGATTCGGCGATCGATGGCTTTGTCTTTTTCAAAATCCAGTGCTTTCCTGCCTTTTCTCAATTTCTCAACAATCCGTAACACTCCCCCAAGACCGGGATAAAATTCTTCGTCGGAGAGGTGTGGTTTTATGTTATCATTTAACCAAGCTATGAACTTGTAATTGAAAGCATCCTGTGGCATTGACTGTGATTGGTAGCAACGCGTCACCGTTTCATAGAATCGAATAATTGCGTAAGCAGATTTTTGCGATCTAAGGTCATAGTTTCGCCTTTTCCGAAATGGTAGCCAAATGTTGCTTAAACCGGTTTCAACACAATCTGCTTCTAATTTTGGCATGGACACCAGCATAATATTGTCGTCACCGTCATTTGTTGGTAACATTTCGAGGCGTGCGCAACCGGTCGGACCGCTACCACCACCATTGCCGTCGCCACTGCACTCTGAGCCCCTTAGAGGATCCACACGAACGTTATCCAGTTCTTCGAGTAAAATAGGCATTTTCCAGCCATTACCATTCGTGTTCAAAAAGGACTTGCATTGTTGATACAGCTCTGCAACACTGCTGACCACTTTGAGACTCGCTTTGCCGCCATAATAAGAATACTTGGCTACTGGTAGTAAGTAGGATCTCAAGTAACCACCGAGCATATCGTAATAGGCCCTCTCCATCACCTTCCTCGATGAATCGGGCAATCTTTGTATCAGTTCATTGCCATTATAAAAGTAATTCAACAACATGTTTAACATTTCATCATTGAGCAAACATTTTGGCAGACCTTTAGGTACGAGATACTAAAACGAAAAAGAAATTCGGATATATTTAAAAAATAGACTTACATACGTACAATTCATACACTATACTTGCCTCGAAATCTCTACGTGCTGATAGTAAATTTAAATCTTCTGGCGAAAAACATTTCTTTCGCGTGCTATCAAAAAGGTTTGAACCAACGAAGTCATCCAATTCCATATCAGCCTGTTCCTCATCTTCGACTTTGCGTGAAAATTTAAACTTTCTTGCTGGCTTTTCGTCCACGTCAGAAATAAGCGGAGCCAATTTGCATGTATTATCGTCATTGATTTGATCTTGATCCTTAAGCACATGAAAGTTCATTATTCCCTGGTTGAATTCGGAGTTGAGATCGGCAGCAAGCTTAAGACCATTGGCGAACTGACTTGGCTGCTCGACTGTTTTCAAATCAAAATCGTAAACGGGACAACCGCCAGGGCAAAGCAACATTAGCAGCACTAAAGATATACCGATTTTCATTTTTTATATCAAATATTTTTTTATTTTTTTTCAACTATTATTTTCCATGTACTTTCATGCTGATGAAAATTGCTACAAAATCAAAGACAACACGATCAATCAAATGGTGTACATATTTTAAGTTTTCAAGCTTCTTTAAGTTTGTCTTTAATTATACATACTTTTCGATTTTGAATGTTTTGAGTTGCATAATTATTGTATGTATGTGGGTGTGTTCGAGCTTCGTAATAATTACGGCAATGTTACAACCTTGCTGCTTTCTTAATGCTCTGTACTGATGTTCAGCTAGAAACGTACTGAAATAATGCAGAGATTGCGCGATAAACATTTTTATACCTTTTATGACCAAGAAATGGTATTATAACTTTGACCCGATGTTTGTAAGTACCAGAAGAAGAAAAGATAACCCCATTAAAATGTATACCAAAATGATCAGAACGTCGCGCTGAGTCGATTTAGCCATGTCCGTATGGCTGCGTGTCTGTCTGTTTGAACGCAATCCAGATTCGCAGTTTTCGCGATATCATTTGTTGGAACCGTCAAAATCGGACCACTATAACATATACATAGCTGCTTGTTCAGATATAAGATTTTTCGTTATGACTACTCTATTCCCGCAGCTAGAAACATGAAATTTTGCACTATTTTCATTTATTGCCAACAGAATGTCTACAGTGAAAATGGCAGAGATCGGGTCCCTAGGACCTATAGCCTCCATACAATTCCAGTTGGACGGCAAAACCGAGCTATTTCGGGAGCTATTTTCTAAATAATCATACAAAGTCGAATAAAAAAATCTTCAAGATCGGTGCCCTATAAGCTATAAATCCTATAACACTGATAATTCAAATACAAGTTTTTGCGATACAACGCTTTTATGTAGACAGCTAAAACAATAAAATTGTGTGACCTGTTTACTTATCGATTATACAAGGACTACTGTGAAAATCATTCAGATCGGTGCTATATAAGGTATATATTCCATTTCACTGATTGTTCAGATAAGAGTTTTGGTAATATCACTCCTCTATCTATGTGCACAGAGAAGGTGTTTACATAACTCCCTTCGGCAATGTCCTTACTTGTTTGCATTGCAAAGTTATGCTCTTTCATAACAAGTAACACTGCCGCATTTATTGAAGCTCGAATGCACCCTGTATGTACGAGCGTGCAAATGCGCCGAGTATAGTTGTGGGCGTGGGCGTTACCTATGTGCGCATTTACTATAAATATAGTGCATTAAAGTATGTATATATTTGGGGGTATGTACATAAATATGTATTTATATATCTCTATGACGCTGACCACATAGATGCATATAGCTATCTAATATCCAGAACTCGCCAAATAAATTGGCTACTCGCAGCCTCTTTGCTCTAATTTAATCGTACCTGTTTGTCGGCGTGTACTTTTAGCTCGCGATCCAGCCGAAATTGAACGCAGTAACTTGGTAAATATTTGTAAGCTCGTGGTTAAGGAATTATTGGAGCAATCATTAAGGTTTGGACGTATGTTGGACTCGGATCACTTACCGCTGCAGCACTTCTTCATTGTAATAGAGCATGTGTTAGGTCATGGTTTGCGTCCAAAGAAGGTGTGTAACGAATGCATCGTTATCGGCCATCCCTTTTTACTTTTTCTCACAAATTGTTCCAGGGTCTTTTGGGGCCACGCAAAGAATTATGGGACCTGCTTCAAAGTGTAGAAAGCTATTGTCCTGAAGCACAGGACATAACAGCTAGCGTTCGTGATCTTCCCACTGTGCGGACGCACATTGGCCGGGCTCGTGCTTGGCTGCGCATAGCATTGATGCAGAAGAAACTGGCCGATTATCTGCAGGCACTTATCGAGCATCGCGATGACTCGCTCTACGAATATTATGAGCCACATGCGCTAATGATGAGCGATGAGGTGGGTTCAGAGTATGCAGTATAAAAAAATAATCCACCAGTTAGCTTAATGTGATTTTTGTGTCTTTTATGGTAGATTGTTGTCATAATGGGTATCTTAGTAGGCCTAAATGTGATTGATTGTAATTTGTGCGTGAAAGAAGAAGATTTGGATTCACAGCAGGGTGTTATCGATTTTTCGCTTTATTTGCGTTCGAGTTCGCGGAGTAACGATAACGATGAGGAAATCAATCAATCACTGGAGGCGAATGGTCAGGGCAATATGATAGCCGTATTGGACCAGAAGAACTATATTGAAGAGCTCAATAGACATTTAAAGTATATACCTCTATCAAAACCATTTGGACAATTGAGCAACACATTAGTAAGACCTTTTCAGCGACATTATGACTGACAGAAAGAAACAAGTAAAAGTGGGACATATGTATAACTTACTGATCTTGCAAAGGTTTTACATGTGTTGCTAAATTGTGTCATCCTCCTAATTTTGAAAACAATTAAAGCAAATTTCCATATAGTGCCACGGTAGGTAATCTTCAGGCCAAAGTTGAGTCCCTTACCACTACAAATGCGTTAATGAAGGAGGATCTTGCGATTGCGCGTAATAGCCTATTGGCATTACAAGCTGAGAATCAGGCGCTGCGTCAAAGCACCACAAGTATGTATAGAAAGAACTCTTTTAAGTAATCGCCGTCCCTTTTCTTACTGTATTTGAAAACATTTTTATCCGCATATACATATTTACTTGCGCAGAAGATACTCCTTCATCCAATGCTGAAGCCAGTCCAAACAAATCAACAGATCGAGCGAATAAAGCAACTATCGAATCGCTCACTGCCGAATTGAGTGAAGAGAAAAAGAAAAGTCAAGAGTTAGATAAGGAGTTAAAACTACAAATATCACTAAAAGCCGAATCCGATATGGCAATGAAATTGCTGGAGAAGGATATACACGAAAAACAGGATACGATTGTATCACTGCGACGACAATTAGACGATATTAAACAAATTAATTTGGAAATGTATCGCAAATTACAGGTGGGTAAAAGCGAAGTGTGCGGAAACAGGTGAGGTGGGCTGATAAAAATGGCCGCTTCGTTGCAAAAATAAAACGAATAAAAAAACTATTAATTATAAAAAAATAAGTACATTAAAAAAATTATAAAAATTATAAAACAAAATAAGATAAATTTAAAAAAATAAACGAAATTTCTAAATCCGAATTTAAAGTAGGGGTCAAAAAAATGTGGACACTGATTAATGATCACCAACCAACCAACCAACCAATGATCATATGATTTCGCTGTGTCTAAATAGAAATATATTTTCATACTTTGTATAAAAATATAGTTCAACCTACAGCAAATCTCATGAAAAAAAGAATTCAAAACTTTGTGAAAAAATTTAAAAAAATTCTGCGAATTTTCAAGAATTCTTTGACGTTTTTTACTACATAATGAGCGGAACTTTATCGCGATTAAACATCGGGTTAAGCGATTCGGGTTTTTGTGGCCGCTAATATATATAAAAAAATAAATCAAGACAAAATTAAAACAAAATAAATATAAATAATGAAAATAAATGAAATAAGATTGCCTAAAACAAAATAAAATAAGTGAAAATTATAAATCCGCAAATTAAAAGTTGAGATATAAAATAAACGAATGTATTATAAAAAAAGCAAAAAAAAAACCAATATAACCATATCAAATATTTTATTAATAAAATAAGGAAACATTTATTTACTTTAATGCAGCGAAATTTTATCGCGTTTAATCAGTGTCCGTTTTTTTGTGGGAGCTACTGTAAATAAAAATTATAAAAAAGTAAGATAAATTTGAAAAAATAAAAACCACAATAAAATAAGCTTAAGTTTTCCTGGACAACTTTTATCCAGGGACGGAGAACGTGTTCGCAGTTATGGTTTAGTTCTGCACGAGAACAAAATGTACTGTCAAGAACGTTGCCACAGTTTGAAAGGGAACAAAAGAAAAGGTTCGGAAACGTTTCCGTAAAAAAATGCGAACAAAACTTTCGGGAACGTTTTCAAGAAGAACAGAACGAGAATGAACCTTTCGGAAACGTTTCCAATGAGAACAAAATAAGAACGAAAGTATCGATAACGTGTCAAGGAAGATCAAAAGTCTGGGAACGTTCTGCTAGAGAACAAAACTAGAACATTGGTTTTAAAAACTTAACGTTAAGAATGAGAGGGGCGTCTGCATGTTGGAATGAAAAATCGTTCCATGATTGATAATTCTAAGCCAGAGGAAAGCTGGATCATTTCAACTTCCATTTCGTTTATCATAAGGTTTCATTATCTTTGCACGAAAACTTCGTGTCTAAAGTCCCTCATTGGTTTTGTTTGCCTCTCTATATATTTGAGTTCTTTTTTGATTAATATTAATTTTCAAAAATTTCAAACTAATGAAACGCTATGAGAAAAATTTTGTTCTCGTTTCCATTTTTCGAGAATAGTACAGAAAAGATTTGTTCCCATTTCGTTCGCTGCCAGAAAGTTCCTGAGACTTTAGTTTCCAAATTGTTCTTCGAGAGAAAGTTCCTTAGACTTTTGTTTTCGTTTTGTTCTTAGGCGAAACGTTCCGGAGTCTTCGTTCCCATTTGCTTCTTTTAGAAATATTCCCGAAAGTATTGTTCGCATGTTTTTTCTTTGGGAGCGTTCCACATGATTTTGTTCCTATATAATTCCCTTTGAGAACGTTCTCGGCAGTTTTGTTCACATTTCGGTTATTGTTGTAAAGCGTTCTTGAGAACAAAACCACGAGAACGATATATAGTTTCGATCATACCATTTGTTCTTGCTCCCTGCTTTTATGTAAATACCTTAACACTGAATTTAATAATTTTTTGCTTGCACTCAGGTGTATTTTTATTTTATTTTAAATAATAAGTATGTAAGCTAAATTAGAAGTATTTAAAACTTTTGCAAACGTATTGTGTTTTATTTATGGTACTCATAATCAGGAATGTGAAGACGAACTCACACAAAAGGGTGAGATGGTTTCACGTCTACAAACGAAAGCATCGCAAATTGGCAACATTTTGCAGTCATTAGAGAAAAAATACGAGTCTAAGTTAGAGCAGCAACAGCAACAACAACAGATAGCTAGTCAACCAGGTGGAGAAAAATCGCCCAGTACACGTCGTCAGCAAAACTTACAAAAATTCGAAGCACTTACTAAAAAGCACCGCCAGGATATCGGACCACCAGTTAAGCGTTTACATCTAAAGGTCGACGCTATACCACCTTTTAATCCTAATAATTACCGTAAATCACCATCAGCATCCGTTGCGCCTGAAAAACTAGAGACTGAAGGTGAACTCAAAACGCCAACCTCGGCCAAATCATTCACCGAAGTAGATAAATCGTACACAGAGACACTGATGGACACCTGCAAAAGTGACTATGCGCTTTCGGAAGGGAAAATATAAAATTGATAAAGTATAATTTTAATTAAAATTTGAGGCTTGGCATTAATTTTATTTTACACGTAAATGTATGTATAAACGAAAACTCGGAAAATTTCAAAACTTAGTGATTGATGTGAAACCAAATAAAACTTACCATCTGCGGACGCAATGCTTTTAAAAATAACTACATAGTTATTAGATTTTTGAAAAAAAGTTCAACATTTGAATGGGTCATTCAAAACAAATTATTTGAATGCATACATAGTGCAGATAGTAAATAGTATGGCTTTTCTCTGAAGTCTTAATATGTATAAATACATATGTATGTACATACATACATATACTACTTAGCTGTGAACAGTAATAACTAATATTCATTTACATATGTACATATGTACTCGTACATGCATACTAAGGGCCTTTTTACTATCTAAGAGGTGTTAAAAAAATTTATGGTGATTCAAGCATATGATACATACAGATGTATAACAATAATAAAATATAAATACATACATATATACTTACATACATACATCCATATATATATAAATATTAGTTGGAAATATGAATGTTAAAAATATTGTATTTAAATTTTAAATTGTGACATTAAAAAATCCACGGTATATTGAAAAGTACAATACTATATGCATACTATATACATACATATGTACATACACACATACATATACACTGCCGGAACAAAGTTTTGGCACAGGAAATGCTTCACAATATAGGCAACAATTTTTATTCTAATATTTTTCCGACAATTTTGTATAAAAATATGGTCCATTCTAGAAGAAAAAAAAAACATAAAAATATAATTTCTAAACTTTGTGCAAAAGTCGTGAAAATTCAGCAAATTTTCATGCAAATTATCAACTTATGATCAGATTTTTTTTGAATTTTTTTGAGTATTTTATGAGTCACATTGATTTTTGAGAATTTTTTCGTTGAAGGTCTTTTGCATTTTTTTCTATATAAAGTATTTTCGAAAAAAAAAATCGTATGGAAGAGACTGCAAAAAAAAATTGCCAAAAATCAATGGTAATTCCTAGCTACTCAAAACTTGCACGTTATTATAATAAAACTAATTGAACTACAAATCTGCATACTCAAAAAATGTGATTAAAGAGTTGAAAATTTGCATAAAAATTTGCTGAATTTTCGCGAGCTTTGCACAAAGTTTAGGATTTATATTTTTATGTTTTTTGTTGTAGGATCAACCATATTTTATTTTATTTAAAATTGGCGGAAAACTGTTAGAATAAAAATTGTTGCATATATTGTGAAAAATTCGCTGTGCCAATACTTTGTTCCGGCAGTGTATGTGTAAAATACCTGCGCTTAGACATACCGAAAAGTTACTTGCAGACAAAATCATAGTAATATACATACATACCTAGCATAAAAATAGCCATACGTACATATTGCATATGTGCATAAATACAAATGCATATATATATGTATACATACATACATATGTATGTATGTACTTTAGACTGGTTCAAAAAAAGGCTTTTTTTCAAATTCCCTTATGATGTATGACTATTTTTTTAATGTAATGACACGATTATTTTATATTATAGAACGCCCAACTTTGTCATTTGTCATTTTTGCCATTTAATGCCCAGCATAACGCTCAATAAAGTGTGTATCACAATTATACGACACTCATATATTGACAAGTTTTGATTTTATTATTTAATTTTAATTATTTGTTTATAAAAATAAAATTTTTTCTTTAATAAAAACCGTTTAAATCCAAGTTCCAAACTTTGTATAATATTACAAAAAAATCAACAAACTTTCGTAAAAATTTCGAGCTTGTCCTTGCCTTTTGGCAATTTTTTTCGTGACGGTATCAGTAATTTTTTTCCATACGATAAAAAACTACTTAAAAAAATTAAACTTGATAATTTAACTTAAATGATGTTAAATTTTTCTTAGAACTTTTCCAGTGATAAGCTTCAACAATTTTCTGATGATAAAAAAATCGTATTTATTTATATGTTGGACTTTAACCTTGAATTGAACTTTTGGAGGAGTGAATTTATGTAATAATCGAAAGTCTTTTTTTTCAGCCTTCAATTTCATTCAAAAGTATGACTTAAAAACGATTGTTTTCTTGTATTATTTATTTTGCAAAGCCAGGTAAACCTTAGTAAACCGTTCTCAAGAAAAAGGAAAACTTAATATAAAATAACGTTCAAGAAACGGAAAAGAAATTTTCTTCTAGCAAATTACTTTTTCAAGTAACAGAAATAATAAAAAATATTTCTTCAGATTTTTCTTGAGAGTTGTATACTAAGCTTAACAGAAATACACAATGGGTGGCCTCTAAATCTTATTATTACGGGCTGCGCCTTTGACAGGCGTCCTTTTTCACTGTGCCGAAAATATTTTAAAAGGGATTTTGGAAACAAAAAAAAATAATATTTTTTTTGAACCAGTCCAATGTACATCCATATGTATGTATGTATGTAGTTATATAGAAGTTTAGTATTTAGACGAAGTATATAAATAACAAATTTTCGCCTATATATTTGAAATGAAGTTAATCTAAGTGAAATGTAAACGAATGTCGGCTTAGATTATTTATGTATAGAGGTTTATCCGTAGAATTATGTATGTATGTGGAGGGTCCCCCAAGAAAATCCACCAGCTCTGAACAGCTGCGTTTCTAGTCAATTTAAAACCAACTATATATACGTATAGTTGGCTATTCTCATATTTGTTTATACTGGTTTACAGCAAAAATGGTCATTGGATGCCCCTTTCCAATTCCTGTGTAGAGGCGCCGAATCCCGCTGATTCCGAAAATCGAGTTTTTCTTTTTTTCTGTGAATAAGTTTTCGACATATTTACAGTGTACCGTTATTCATTAAAAAAGTGGCGCCACTTAATCACGTACATATATCTTACGAATATCACTTTTCGATAGGGCTGATAGTTTCTGAGAAATGAACTAATCATTTGATGAAAAAAATTCCAAACGAATTACTTGTAAATTTTTCTATTTTGGATGAAAGCCTGTTCCTTTACACAACATCGATGAATAAGTCAAAAAAAAATGAGGGATCAATTGAAAATGTGCACATGGCGGAATTATCCCACGTGAAGTAATTAGATCGAGAAGAAAGATTTTGACACTGCCCTATTTGAAAAATTGCCTTTAAAGCTCGGAACACTTTGACGACAGCAAGCGACAAGCAGCATCTGTCAAATTTTAAATACACACGTTCTTACGGACACAATTATTTTGACGACAGCACGACATCTTGGCTCCAGGACTGCAATTGTCGACGTCGCCAAATTAAATCTATTTCTAATTTTGCCGGCGACAATGAGTAGATGTAGTGCTGCAAAATTAAATTGTCGCAAAATTAATCACATATTCTTGATTGTTCATGTTTTTCTTATTTACTTAAATAAAAATACACAATTTGTGAAATAAATATACCAAAATGTCAAACTTTAAATCAGCTGTTTGCTATGTCGCTGAGGTCTTCAAAATGTTTAAGAAGCTGGCTTCAAGGCGACATTTGTCGACAAAATGATGTCGCTGTCGTTACGTCGTGAAGTTACAGTCGTCATAGTGTTCCGAGCTTAAGAATTGATTACACTGTGAGACAAATGGTAGGGGTCAGTGATCGGGAAGGGTTCAAACTACCCGGGAAAGTTATATCGGTAAAAAAGAAGTTATATATATATCTCGATTCCTAGACGTGACCCAGCGAAACGCCGGGACACGTCTAGGAATCGAGATATATATATAACTATCATATAGGGGAAATTGTCACCTTTGGTGGTCTTTTTTTGACATAACTCGAGAACCACTAGTCCGAGTTTGCTCAAACAAATTAAAAATTACAATTCCTTTAATCTGTTCATATAACGTTTTTCTATATAATCAACAGTTTTAAAAAAATTTAATATTTTAGGCAAAAAATATTTTTTTTCTTCATACATTTATTTTTACCGTCATACATTTGTTTAACATTTCCCGTTGGTTTCATCCCATCCCGATTTTGACTGTCGCATAGTGTTATATGACAGCCGAACTTCACCTGTTTATTGCGGCGTGCTTGGTGCGCAACGATTTTTTGTATGAAGAATGCGCAGGAAAGAATGTTACTCATACGCCATGAACACATATACAAAGTTTGAGATTTTTTTTTAATTTTTTCATCAAAAAACAAAAAAATGGAATGATTAATTAATTTCTGTGATGAAACTGTGATGTACATATATACAGTTTATTTTAGCAACTTTCATTTGCCACATCTCGTATTAAGGTTGTTCAATTGGTTCGTAAGATATACATACGTCATTAAGAATCTCTTTTTTTTAGCTGAAAAACGGTAAATTGCAAATATCTCAAAAACTTATCCATAGTAAAAAATTAATAAACTTGATTTTCGAAATTAGCGGGCGATTCTTCATAAGAATTGGATAGGGGCATCCGTGGAGCAAAAAAAAAATCAAAAATTTCCGATGCAGTGCTTTTGGAGCTAGTATTATCTCTTTTTATAAGTATATTCTAGGTTATATTATTCCGATGTCAGCAAAATCAGCCAGTAGGGTAGTTCGTGGGCGTGAAATTTATGTGCTCAGAAGTTCGATTTTTAACCGAATAAAAATCTTACGTAAAATTTTGGCTGCATTTCTTTATTCATTCTGAACGTTTGGAATAAACTTTTTTGTTTACTTATTCTTTAGAACGTTCCTGATGATATGTCAACGTATATTTCAAACTCATTCTGTTTATTCCGGCTGTGAAATGGGATTATCCGGAATGTATAAAGAAACGCAGCCTTTGTTTTTCAAAAGTCACCTGAATTAAAACCAAATCATTTCCGACTTAGTAAAAAAGGCTGGGTAATTCTCTAGTGTAGGGTAACAACCCCTAAAAAAGGTCCGGAAAAGTCGAGAGGGGTACCAAACGACGCGTTTCGGCCCCCCTATTAACAAAATGGAGGGGGAGGGTTAATATTATTAACCATTTAAAAGTTATAAACAAAAAACTTTTGTTAAATTTCGTTGTTTTCTATGAGCAATTACCACGTCAAAAATGCACTAAATAACCAGTTTACACTTTTAAAACACTATTAAAACGTCTCCGGTTATTATTTTATGCAAACCAAATCATTTATTCACTTTTATTTTATATATTTCGTTAATAAAACAGAGTAAACAAACTTTGCGCCTGCCAAAATTATTATAACCTCAAATCGCTGGTATTGCCACTTTATTTCACATTTCATTTGCGCTATTATACTCAGTTTACACTATACACTTCTTCTTCTTCTTCTTTTTTTACTTTCACCTAAATAAGATATTCTAACCAAAATATAATAGCAAATTTCGCTATACCATGGCAGCGCTACTTTTATGGTTTACAGTTATTTTAGCTGTAATTAAAAGTAAGCGTCATGGAGTGCCAAAAGTGCGATTTTTTATTAAAAATTTTCATTAGTTATCGAAGTATTGATTTTTATGAAAAAAGCGCCGCAGCCGAAAATTTTTAATAAAAAATCGCGCGATTTTTTATTAAAAATTTTCATTCTTTATCGAAGTATTGATTTTTATAAGAAAAGCGCCGCAGGCGCAGATTTGTAATAAAAAATCGCGCGATTTTTTATTAAAATTTTTCATTATTTATATATATATTAAACGAAAGAAGATACCGAAAAGCATTGAACAGTGCACACACAAATAACAAAATAATCTATCTTAGGTTGATAAAACTATGTGTTTGTTTAATAAATAAGTTAAATTATATATTTTAATAGTGTTTAAAAAGTGAGAAAGAACAGTTGATTTAGTGATTCTTTGTCGGTGTAATTGCCCATAGAAAACAACGAAATTTAACAAAAGTTTTTTGTTCATAACTTTTAAATGGTTAATAATATTAGCCTTCCCCCTCCGGATTGTTAATAGGGGGACCGAAACCCGTCGTTTGGTACCCCTCCCGACTTTTCCGGACCTTTTTTAGGGGTTGTTACCCTACACTAGAGAATTACCAAAGGCTGTCTTACGAAGAAGAAATGGTATAATGACTTTGGTCTGACAGCACTGTCCTTACTTGCTGTTTTTTTTGCTTCGGGTAACAGCATAATAAAAAAGAAGGTAGTTTCAATAAACAACTTGACGGATACTGGGATTTTGAAGGTTCATAATTCCATGTTGCTTGCAGCGTTATATTTAAAAATTAATTAGTCTCGTACATAATATACACACGTATGTATGGAAAATATGTAAATACATAAAAAGAATGCAACTTTATTTCGAAATACAACGGGTAATGGCATTTCTCACCGCTACCCCAAAACTGAAAATTAATCTACATACATATATGTGTATGAATGTATATTGCGTTAACATTATTAAATGTTTTTATTTAATAAATTCACCGAACCCATCAAAACATAAATAATTGAAAGCCATTAAAGTAATACCCATCCAAAGCTCAATGTACTCATCCAAGTATTCTTCGTTTCCGAAGCGTTCCCCAAGTTGGAGGCTGCTAGCAAAATTCATTCCTTTTCTATATTTTGACCAACACAGTTTTTCATTACCTCACATTTCGCGGCACTGCACTTTTAGAGAGTGTGGTCTTGATATGGCTAATGCTAATATCCGTGATAGAAAAATATTGAGAACATACATACGGATATTTTAGAAGGCTTTCCTCGCCCACGCCGCGGGCTTCAAGCCATTTTTATCTCGCAAAAAGGACCGCTGGACATTTAAAAAATGTTGTACCGTCTTATTTACAGTGGTATTTTGTGCGAAACTGATTTTTCTTTTTATTATTTAAAAAAACTGCATTATTTTTTGCTTTGGCGATCAAATTGTTTTAGGAATTTTTATTTTTATTTTTTATAATTTTCAATCTGGTAGATAGATTTTGATGAAAATGTGATAATCCCATCAAAAGTCAAATAGCTAAGATGGCTGCTAATGTCATTAATTTAAACTACCTTCTTTTTTCTACCATGGGTAGCAGTATCGTATAATTACGAATAAATATTTACAAATAAAGAAATGAAATTCAAAAAGTATTTTGCTTAACAAAAGTGTTTATATGCATATTATTTTTAACTAAATATAAGTATAACTGTTTGTTAAATAATCTAAAATGCTAAATCATATTTCGCTATTTCGTTTGGCACATCTATTGCAAAGTCATTGTTTATTAAAAACACCACTTAATTGTATAATACAAATTAAATAATAAATACATTAAATGATTGTAAATAATATTTACATTTTGTCTGTATTATCTAAAAAATAAATATATAACAAATAAATTAATTCAAACTGAATCTACAATGTCTGCATAATATGTTCTTTCTAATATCTTTATGCATTAGGAATGTGATGCTTCGCTCAAGCATAAAACGGAAATGATTAAAAAGTTAGAGAGTCAAAAAGAAGATATGGCCAGCACTATTACACAGCTGGAGAAAAAGTAAGCTATGTAGTTAAAATTAATAAATTTTTACGGCGAAAGTGTGAAATTGTGAGCGTCGAGACTGTAAAATTATAAGCTAAGATATAAATAACACCCGTTTTTGCAGAGGAGAGTTGACTAAGATTCGATACCGTAAATTGTTGCCTTCTCAGTGCCGCCTACGCACAAATACTAAGGAGAGGGCAATGGAAAGGCAACATTTTTTGTAGAAAAGAAAACGCAATTAATTGCCGAATGTAGGTAAACTCTCTACTATAAAAAGCGCCTAAGAATAAAATTCTAAGTTCTGGAGAGATCACATATGTATGCATTAACTAATTAGCACCCAAATTTGTGAAAGCCAATCGGAGTAGTATCCGAAAATATTCCGATCCACGCGTTTTATCAAACCTGTTTGCTGCTTTGTGGGAAACCGTTGGTAAATGGTTGAATTTAGGATTCAATTGATACCATAAATGTATACGAGGGTCACTAAAAAGTTCTGGGAATACCTAAGAAAAAAAGTTTTTTATCGGTAAATATGGTATTATTGGTTTTCAAGATATTCTGCAGCTTGATTTATACTGTTTTGCTTACGCTCAAACCAATCGGTGAAACATTTTTTCGCAGTCAATACCTCAAAAACATAGATTTTGAACGCGTTAACCATTTCTCCTGGGGAAGAAAACCGTCATCTACTATCCTTGATGTACGGGAAGAATAAAAAAATTGTAGTTTTTCGTTGTTTTCCTCCATTCGTCCAAGGCTGTTGCTAAAGAAATGGTTGTGTACCACTCAGAATCAACTGTTTCATGCTTCTCAAGTGCCAACTTAGCCACATGACCCGTTATTGGGAAGAATCAAGCGACCATTTGTTTCGAAGTGCTTCTTGTTCGAACAACTCCTGTTGGTTTTTTATTATTGAGAAGCGAAATTCGACCATGTTTGCATGCATTTTACCAAGGCGAATTCATACAAGGGTGTGTTGTTAAATCAGCTGATTTTTTCGCTTTACATATATTTTATTTTTCCTCTTACTGATTTGATAGCGTACCCAGCAAAAATGGAAATAAAATGTATGTAAATTTTGGCGCGAATTGTTTTTGTATTGTTGCTACCACCTTGTATGAATTCGCCTTGCATTTTACTAATTACAAACACTGGCCCTGATGGTGTTTCATCAGCCAGAAATAAGTTCATCGATGCACTGTTGTTGTGTTAATCCACGGCGAAATTTGTAAACAATCGTCCAAGACGCGTTCATATAAGGTAGGAACAGTACTACAACAACAAAATCTTACATTTATTTTGTTTTTTGCTTTTCTTACACAACTGACAAATTTCACCTATTCTTCTCTCAAGGAAGAAGAGGAGAAAAAGTTCAAACACTCTTGATTTCTCACTCACGCACTTTAGAGAAGTATGAAAGTTTGACATTTGTGCACCAAAGCAATTCGAATCAGCGGTTCTACTAACACCGAAAATCTTTGAAGTATGTAACTGTACACAAACCCAAGAGCGCACGTACTGTAAAACGTTCTGAGACGTTTGTGCTAAAAAATATCAAATTTTATGATGCAAAAGTCACATCGACTCAAAAAAAATTGGTATGGCGAATTCTAAAGACTTATTTAGTGACCCTTGCAACCTTAGTAAGCACTGCCTCTGAACGCATAGATACCTACACAGTATCGAGTACTTATGTATGTACATTAGGCTGGTCCAAAATAAGTAAAGTAGGAATTTTAAAGCTCTCTCACCCTAGGTTTGTTCTATATCGAAAAAAAGTATACCTCTATTTTTTTTTATTTTGAAATCAAAAAATAAATATTTAGCGGTCGCTCAAAAAACAACTTTTCGTAGAAATGGTATGGAATTCTTGAAAATCCATATTTTTCGTTCGGAAAACTCTGGTTCTTTCCAGGAAACTTCCAGTAACAATATCCAGTTGTTTATTCAGCAATTTTTTAATACTAAAGATTTTTTCTTTATCCCCCCATAGCTTTTTCTGGCATTTTATAGGGGTTTTTGCGGACTTATAAAATATAGTTACTATAAAAAAATGGTTAAAAAAATAATTGGGTATTATTATTGGGAATCTCCTGAAGAGAAACAGAGTTTACCGGTCGAAAAATATAGATTTCCAAGAATTCTATACCATTTCTACGAAAAGTGTTTTACCCCGTATAAATTAAATGAAAAATTTTGAGCGCTTTGAGCGACCTCTAAATATTTTTTAATTTCAAAATAAAAAATAAGAGTATTTTTTCGGTATAGAAGGATCTTGGGTGGTGAGAGCATAAAAATTCCGACTTTACTTTTTTACATACATTTTTGGACCATCCTAATACACATATTTACTTTAGTCGTCGAAAAGCCTATTCAGATGTTTGTTTCTTTTTTAAAGTTCTGAAGCGATCGTCCGGCGATCATTTCATTTTAAAAGCTTACTAGTTTAATTACAGCCATTTCAAAACCCTAGTCAAACTATGGCCATGTATGTTAGACAAAACTTGTTATAATTTAGATGCTGCCTGGACTAGGGATCGAACCTAGGTACTGGTGAGTGGTAGTACGCACCTCTAACCACTCTGCCACAACGGCTCACAGTTGATTTACAAATGCGGAATATTTTCGATAAAAATTGTGGTAAGTTAGATTTAAGCATTTTTTTATTTTGGGTTTATCCTTCGTTTAAAATTTTACCACGTTTTAACGCACTGAATTTGCGGTGATAGCTTAGATTATTTTGCAAACAACTTTTCCATTTTGACAGTTTATTTAGGATGCCAGAAATTTACGAGGTAAAGATGGGTACCCTTAACAGTCGCACTTAAACAGATTCACTATTAAGGCCTTAATTTATTTCATTGTCCACTGATTGATAACTTTTAGTATTTTTTTATAGTCAGCCCCGTTAAAAAAAAATACAAAAGCTATAAGTTAGAATAGAAAGCTTGATTAAATTGGTATTCTACCGGGGTCTCAAATTTCGATTTCAAGGAAAGGTGGTAAAAAATAAGAAACTGCTTTATATACTTTTAAATACATACTTTGGCCGGTAGTTATACATATCTAACAAAAAAGCAGGCATGGTATTTGAATTGGACTCTGCTACAATGTTTGGCGAAGAGCTGCGGAATTCGTACGTACATAAAAGTTTTCAATAAAAAAGCTATCTTACAAACAAATTTACAACATTTTGAATGAACAAATTTCATACTGCACAGTTTTAATATATTGCACAGGAACTTCAAAAGTGACACAATTCAAAATTACACGTTTTTCACTTGCCGATCATATGGGCAAGAGAGACTTTACTTTAGGTTTTTTTCAACAAATTGTAACAAAAATTTGCTCCAGTTTTTGCTGAAAGGTAAATAAAAGCTCTGTGTACATTTTTAGTGCATAATTTCAAAAATGCCAAATTTTGAGTTGTGTCACTTATGAAGATCGTGTGCGATATGGCGTTCAGTTATCAGAATTGTTTGTAATTTCATTACAACGGAAACGCTTGCTGTTAACTAATTTTCTGAAGTGAAACCAAGTTCTCCACTTGGTCTTTCCAACGCAGTGAGGGCCTCCACTAGCGGGTGGAATACTTTCAGAGCTGGAGCGTCGGTGTCCATTCGAACAACAGGGTTGTGCTTTCCTTGCATTATTTAGCGCACATTTTTTGCTGCACAGAGGCGGTCCGTATCTTAGCTGCAACAAGAAAGTGGTCCGAGTCAATCTTTGGTCCTCAGAGTGTACGTACGTCTAAAACACTGGAAGCGTGCCATCCGTCTATAACACTATGATCGATTTTGTTTCTCGTTTGGGCTGGTAGCTTGATAGATGTTTTTTTGCATGAACCTAGTACTGCATATTACCATGTTTCAGGTTCCGGCGAAGTCGATCAGCCTCAGTCCGTTACCGAACACCGTTTCCGACAGTGACGCCAGAGATCCTTTCCTTGCCTACCTTAAGATTGAAATCGCCAAGAACGATTTTGATATCGATGTTCGGGGTCGCTGGCCACTTGAAGAACCCAAACTCAGCTTCCTGGTCCAAATCACATAACCGTTGATAGCAGAAGGCCACGTCGGTATATCGTGCTTATGGAAATTGGCACCCACATTATTCGTGAGCATGATTACTCAACTAATCCCTTCTCTTTTGAGAAATCTTCAAAAAATTAACATTAGTGGTCAGGCACACTTTATTAGGGCCTCACATCTAAAAAAAGGAATTAGTCTGTAAAAACGATCAATGATCGTCTACATATTCAGTTCGCCACTCTTGACATTTTCTTTTACATATTTGTTTTGCAGTTAGTTAGGTTTTCACCGGTGTTGCTCGAAACCGGATAGGGACTCTTAAGACAGTTTTTTAATTAGTTGAGCAGATTTCAACGAATTGGCTGGCTTCATAGAGGTAGCTCTGTAAATATCGACATTTGGCAAGTCGTTCACTGGTTGCAATACTGAACGAAAGCCTTCGACTTTCTGTAATAACTTTGAAGTGAGAAGGGGGGCTCAAAACGTTTCGTCTATACGGACCTCATTTCTAATATATGGTGTTTCATCGGCAGCGTGTAAGTGATGGTTTTTAACCGCCTTCCAAGAAAGGAGGAGGTTATCAGTTCGTCGGAATATTTTTTTTTATGTATGTACCGCATAACTTTGGACCACGTCAACCGATTTCGATAATTCTTCGGATAATTTGCATCGGAAAGGTAGTGTCTCAAAGGTGGTCCCATACTAATCTGGTTTAGATCCGATCATTGGATCATGAAATATATATATATATTTTTTTAAGTCGTTTTTTTTGCTAAAAATTACTTGTTACAGTTATGTTCAACAATAGGCAATGAAATCTCGAAAGTACTTGCAATGATAGAATGCATCGAGGCGTACCATATTTTGAAAACACAGTTTATACTATACTGGCATACATATTTGTATCTATTAACAACAGGCTTGACGGGAGGGGGTGGAGATCCGGGAATTTTCCCCCCGGGCCCGGAGTTCTCAAGG